ACTGCCATGTGATTGGTTGATTAGATAATTGCATTAATGAGAAATTGAACAGGTGTTCCTAATAATCCTTTAGGTGAGTGTATATGCATATTTATTAAATAGCGTCAAGCAGGTCTAGACGATCATTTGTTTATTTATATCTGCCTTTACAGCGCACAACCACACGCAAGTTGGTGTTTGCTAGGGCAGTGTGAATACAACAGCATTTTCTAAATTATGCAGTCAAACGTGATAGCCTTAAATGCTGTGAAATCGTAGGATATGTTATAAATCCTCATATGCTGTTTTAGCACTGAAAACTTTAACTTTAGTAGATGCTTAACTTACCAATGGCTAGATGCAGCCGGTGACCAAAACACTGTAGGCGAGTCCAGTTTTTAAGTGAGACAGCCTTAACAATGTTTGCGCCGTTGTCCGTTGTAATGCACACCTGGCGGTCCTCGCTAAGGTCCCAAGATGCGAGTGCATCCTCCAGACCCGCAGAAAGTATTTCCGCAGTATGGTCGTCTGGAAAATATGCAGTCTGCAAGCATCTTGATTGCAGACCCCAGTCCTCGTCGATGTAATGAATGGTGAGGCTCAAATATGGCTCGGATGTGCGGCTGGACCATAGGTCGGTGGTAGTGGCAAAGTATCTCACGTTCCTTAGATTATTTTCCAGCTTTCCGCGGCACTCTTCATACAGCTGAGGTAGTGCGGTTTTGGAAAAGTATTTTCTGCCAGGGAGTTCGTACCTGGAGTCAAGCACTTTCACTAATTTCCTAAACCCGCCTTGTTCTACTGTACTTAGGGGCATCATATCTTTCGCTAGAAAGTTAGAAACGGCCCTGGTTATATCCTTGCTCCTTTTGGAACACCTTTCATAAGGTATAATGGCCACGAAAGACGACACGATCGATTTCTGCTTTGGTACCACCCCACTGCTAGTTGACGGAGTAGCATCAGCCCGCATTTTCATGCTTTCAGTGTGGTCGTTTGGGTGATGCTTTTTTAGGTGATGGAATAGGTTGGTTGTGTTGCCAGTCTTGGTTTTCACAAACCGACGACATATTTTACAGATCGTTTTAATCTGTGCCTCGTCATTTTTCAGATAGCCAAACCACTTCCATTTAACGGAATTCGTGCTACCTTTTTTGTCGACAATTTCAACATCTTTGGATAATAACTCGAGGTTAGATTCACTTTCGTCACTGCTTCCACTCATTTTTTTTTGTTGTCCTGGTGTCAAGTTTGCTTCGCAAAGTGCGGTAGGAAATTTACTTTGATGTGCACAGCAAAGTAAGAATTTCATTGTACTGAGAAATACTACTTTCTGTACATATGATAATAAACGCTTTGAATCTTGAATCTTGAATCTTGAACGGCACGCGCAAGCTGCACGCTGATTGGCTGTTGTCGTATTGTTCTGCTGTGTGATTGGCTCTTAGATTAATCCATATCGAGCAAAAAATGTCTAGAGCTTATCATCGTTATTAAAATAAAATAAATCGCGATTCAATATGATATTGTTTATCGGCCCAGCCCTACAGTAGGTGACATCATCACCATCGCCGAGTGTGACGCGCAAAGGACGCTGCAGCGGGTCAATATCAGGAAAGTGCCTGGACCGAACAGCATCTCTGGGTGCCTGCTGTGCTGTGCTGTGCTGACCAGCTGACTGGAGTCTGCACCTCCATCTTCACCGAGTCTCTTGCTGAGTCTGTCCTCACGTGCTTTTAAAGATCCACCAGCAGCGGTCCTACATTCCTGTCAACATCAATGGGACTGCAGTGGAGAGGGTGAGCAGCTTCACATATCTGGGCAAGGACTTTACATACAAAAGTCCTGCCTGAAAAGCCAAGGCAGCGTCTTTACCACCAGAGACACCTGAGGAATTTCCGGGTCTCTCCCAGAACCCTCAGGACTTTGTACTCTGGTCCTGTAGAAAGTGTCTCGACTGAGAACATCACCTCCCGGTTTGGGATCAAACGTTAAAGGTGCAAAAGATTGGATCTACAGTCTCTGCAGGTCATTTACTGTAGATGGAAGACCAGAGCCACCAGGATCTGTCCGTCCGTCCACTGAAGTGTTCCACCCTCCTTTCACACTTTCATGAGCTCTGTCCCGCCCCATAACTACAAAAAATGAAGTTGCAACATCTTTAGAACTAATGACTTCTCTCTCCAAAGCCAGTATCACCAGATTTTGTCTACGTTCCTGTTCAGTTCTCAAGGTAAGATGGACAATATTTCAGCAAAATGATTTTAGTTCCTTTTGTAGCAGTTTATGATTTTTAATTCCAGTGTGACATGCTAAAGACCCAAGTAAAAATAACGTTAAAAAAACTCTTACAAATTAATAATTTAAAATCAGTATAATCAGCCACATAAGAATGTTGCTATGTCTTTGCGTGGCTGTCTCAGTGTTCCTCTGTGAGCTGTTTTGTGCAGTAATTCTTACTTACACAGTACTTTGTTACATTAGTTACTGAATAGGCCAATGTGATAATATTCATAAACATAGGGCTTGTTTTCTTTGTGATGTACATGTTACACATACTTCCTGCTCCTGTAGAACTTGCAGGGCCTGTCTGACCAGCCTCAGCATAGAGTAGAAAATGGAAACTTACCATAAAATAAAATTAAATTAAAAATTTCATTTTGCGTCATACATTTTGAAAAACTTACAAAAATTAGCTACCTAAATGCCTTCAAAATATGACTTGTTTCAAGAACTTGAGATAAAAATATAAAGCAAATTTTCTCAGCGCAGGTTACAATACAGCAATCCCAAATATTCAATTCAGATTTTCTGCTCAGATCTGATTTTTTTTTTAGCCTGATTTACATTATTTTATAAATGTGGCCAGAATCAGATTCCAGTGTGAACTGGTGACAGTCCTGCAGTGACCCACATGTGCAGCAGAACAATAACAGGCAGCATGATTTTAGTGGAGCAGTAGCTGCCAGT